GCTCGTACAGCCTGTTTTAACTATCACCACATATACAAATCGTAAGTATTTTGTTTAAATATAAACCATATAACATTATGAGTTCCTTAAGTTATTATTGTAGATCACTAGTAGTAAGAATTATCATCAGTCAAGCAGAAGATTGTTTGGAAAGATTTGACTATGAATGCACACAAGTCAAAGCATAGCTTTGGTGTAAAGCTATAAAGCCATAAAAACCAGTGTGCAATTTCCCTGATCTGGCCTCTTACGGTCATAAAACTCAAAACATCTTTCCTGAACTGTCTTCATTCATTGGTGCCGTAACTATCTGGGTTATAAATGCTTTTCATCTCCTGACATGTTAACTCCCACAGACTCATTTCCTGCGGAAATTGTAAATTCTTTAAATATTGCCATAATAACAAAGACATAAGATTATTATGGTTAAGGAGCATTCCCTGGATCATACAGGAACATGATATGTGAACATATCTCATTGAACCTGTTAGTAAACACTAAGTATTATTTAGCAAAGAACAACATAATGCCATAATATTCTGCTTGTAACCAGTTTTCTCTTACAGCAGTGTAACCTCTATAAGGGATAGACACAGAACTGCTTGTAGGCTCTTCTGAAACGGTACTTTACATGCGATCAACAATACAGCATTATTTCTCCATCACAAAACAGAGTGCAGAGAGAAAATTGTTGGAGACAGTAGAGTTCTATCAGTTGCACAAATGTGCAGTTGCTAAGAGGCAAATATGCTTCTCTTGTAATCAAATAGGCCAGCTCAGCACTACTGCTGGCTTGGGGCGAAAAGCAAATTCCACCAGCCACAAACTTAGAAACAGTCTTGAATTATTTGTTGCTGACCGCTGGCTGAACCCTATTCTGATGAGCACCATCACCATTAGCCACTTCTCAGTGTATTCCATCACCCAATGGCAACAGCCGCATGCTACAGCTCAGCCTCCGAGAAATTGATCAAACAGGGTAATGAGACTATTCCTTTTCCGAGGTTATTTTAAATGAATATAAATATTTTCTTTCTACATAATTTGTCCCCAAAGGTCACAGATCTCACGATGTTCCTAAAGAAAAATGCTACAAAACTCCAATCTCCATATTTGAAAGGAAAAAACAATTCTGCAGTTTGATTTTTTTGGGGGGGGGGACAATGGCATAAATCTTAATGTTCTGGCAGCATCCTATGCGATTGATTAAAGAAAACATTTAAGCTGCACATTTTAGTTACAGCTGAAAAGATATAATGCAATTTCAGAAAGATGTATAACCAATCATGACTTACTTATTATAAAGCTTCCACTGAAGAGCCTTTTTGCTAAATAGTCTAAACTGAAAATATATGTGAATTGAAAATAAGGATTAGGATCTAAAACCGCCTTACAGAGTCTCTCCCCTGCCTAGGGTGCAGTTATCCAGGTTCCTGCTGAAACACTTCAACCCTCCACCCCCCATGCCCCCCAAAAAACCCCTGCTTTTGAGAAGTAACATGAATCAAAGGATTATTCAGTAATAATCCAGCCCAGCCTACCATGTAATGCAGAAATACTCATTTGGTTGCATATGGAGCAGTTTGCTTTTCAGGCCAATTGTATGGTTGAACACACTTAAAATATTGGAGCAAATATTTCAGGTAGACATTTTTCATAATGAATTTTGTATCTGTGCTCCTAAATAGAAGTTTAATTCATTTATTGTTCAGACAATGTTAACTTTGTCCAGCTACAAAGATAAAAATAAATCCCTTCACATATAGATATAATATTCAAACATAGTTTTCAGCAATAATTTGAAAATGTCTATTCATAATCTTCATTTGCTGCAAAATTACTGGAGCATTTATAATGAAGAAAGAACATACTGGTCTATTTTGAGCATCATGCTAAGTAGGCCTTATTATACTTACTTGCTTTCAACCTAAGAGTGATGCTCATTCAACAAATCACAGTTTTAAAATAATTATTCTAGGATTATATGAATATTAACCACAATATAAAGCCAAATTCTGTATTCGTAGAGGTCACACAGAAAGGTCAGAAGCCTATTTGGCAGTAAGACCAATCAAATCTTTCCTACATGTCTAAGTTCTATATTTAAATCAGCATCATGTCATTCTGTTTTTTCCCCCTTATGGCTAAACAAGGGATTTTAATACATTCATACTGTATGATTGGTTCAAAGTGCTTGGTTTGAACTTTACTACTTTGGACCAGAATGGGTAAATGCCTGCTCATCTGCATATATACTTGCCCATAATTTTTCTTAGTAGTCAGTTTGCTATAAGTTATTCTCCATCTAAGTAGTTCCCATAAAAGTAGACTTCAAGCTTTCATTATTCAAATACTTTCCCAACAATGGTTCATCTAAAACATAGTTATATTGTTATGCCAGGAAAATATTTTACTTTTCTTAACTTTTTTTAAAGACACATTTATAGTTGTGCTTACTTTTAGGGGGGTGGGGTTGCTTTGATCATACATAACTTTATTATCTTGTTAATTTACATAAGCTACCTAGGAATACTATTTAAAGATAATATATTTTATATGACAATACAGCATCAGAAAAAGATGCACACATCATTAACAATTAGAATATCACTAAAAACATTTTCTTCCAGAGAGCAAAATTGAGAATAAAATATTTGTAATTACTTTTTAAATGTATGTATACTTATTACAAGTGTTCTTTTTTACTCAGTCAGAGCATTTCACTTTTATTACTCATGTTTTGTACATGTCACTAAGAGATTTGAATTTATATGTCCGACAACACTAACCCAGTTCAGAATAGCCACCCTTATTAAGCAATGAATAAAATTTCTGATGAATCTCATTTGAATTAAAATTAAGCATAAACCTTAATATAGTTGTGTTTTGCTTTATGCCTGCTTAAGTGAGGTACAAAATAAGACTAATGGCTTATGCCAGCAAAGACAAATGAAAAATCCTGGTTATTATTATGTAAATTACATCTATCCTAAATGAACCATAATGAAAATTTTTATTATTATTTTTTTTATAATGATGAAGATCATAGGAAAATCTTAGCAGAGGTAAAACATATATAGACAGAAAATAGTTATTTTTGGTTTTGCTCCAAATGTATTTTAAATTTTTTTCCAAATACTTGGAAAAAATAAAAAAGAATAATTGAAAAAGTTAAATAAATAACTTCAAACCTTTTTTGTTTTCTTGTTTAGAACATTTTTTTTAACTTGGCAATGTTAAGAGGCATGTGCTTCAAGTCCTGGAATTCCCAAGCCAGCATGAAAAACAATGATATAGATTGAATATCAAATGTAATACAATAAGAGGCTCAAACATTGCCATCATTTATCACTCCCCCCCAATATTTTCTATTAACTTGTAATGAGAAGATTTTTATTCAAGTATCAGATTTTATAACTGCTATATTCAGAAACCTCTTAAATGTGAGACAAGATATATTTCTGCACCATCCTTCTGGCGGGACTATCATGTTCACCAAAGGAAAGAAGGAGATTCAGTACCCTTCTTTGTTAGGAGGCTTGGGGGATTATCAAGTGACAACTTTGTATCTGTTCTTGACTAGGCTTCATTCATTCTGTTGTACTATCACATTGATAACTTCAATTTTATGTTTTTGAAGCTTAACAAAACAAAGAAATTCTTTATTTCTTAAACCTCAGATGTTTATACTTCTCTAATAAAGTGTAAAATGCTTTAAAGAACTCCAGTCAGTAAGCTTAACTATATTTTAAATTATACTTTTTCAATTCATAAGTAAATCAAACATATGCATTGTGTTGTATCTTCTAGAATACCAAAATAGATCAATAAATTATGGTGGAAAAATGAATAATGCATCTATTCAATTTTTTCCAAAAGCTTCCATTTTTTCCCCTAAAGACTGTCAGGAAAAAATGGTTTTATTCCATGGCTTCAAAATGCATAGAAATTTTATACTGCCGCATGATAGTTTCTATAACCAAAATACGTAGAGCATATACTAAAGATTTACATGTTAACAAATCTGGCACTAATTAACTAGGACTATCATAAGTGACAGACAAGCCTGCCATTATTTTTCTACCTATAGAAATCTGTAGCTATGGGATACATATGAAAAATATTTATTTTTTCAATTTACGGTATGTATCCCTGCAATCAATAGTTTCCTAAGTGATGCATACAATATAAAGTAAAATCTAGACTGATCAAGTATCTTCACAATTCTTAATCCACCCCAAAATTTACAAAATAAATTTAAAGGTCTGCTGCATCAGAACTGAACCTGTCAGAAGAAAGAACTGCTCTTCGCAAATGCATCTAACATTATAAGATTTCATTTTTAACATACATGGGACAAAAGTGCATAAAATTACTAATTAAAGTCAATAGTACATGAAAATTAGCAGCTACTAGCATGAGAGCTATAATCAATACTCTAGCCATTTGACAGTGCCAGTTGCAATGGCAAAAGAATCATCACAACTTCAAGTGCCAACAAGCCAGATGGTTTCAGTAGAAAAATCACTACACTGACTGGCAGCTTAATCCCATGATTAGTGCCCATAGGAAAGAATAATGAAAATAAGAAATAGTTAGAGATGATGAAGTAACTCAGTTATCACTAACTCATGGCAGGGTGTTTAGATTATTTTAGAAATTCATTCTCTTAACATTTGGTAAGTAAAAAAGTTGTGTTGACAAGAGATCTGTAATATTGAACAAACAAATCATTTCCATTATTTTCTAGAGATTTCATAGTCATTGGAGATATCCATTCCATCTATTGATTTTTTTAAAAAAAATTGTGGGCTTCTTGTTTTCTTAAATTAAATCCTAAAACACACAGAAACAATCCAGTTAACAAAAAGTTAACTGAAGCAATCATTGCAGAAATAGAATAATCTCAGATCTTTTTAGTCAGTTTATGGAAAGTTAGGCAGATAGTAGACAGATATCCTTCCACTTTACTTCTAACAAACTAAATATTAAATTAATACCTGATAATCTGGTCGGTCTCATTGGTCCTTTTCCCATTTGCTTGCAAAGCAGTAAGCCAGAATCCAGTTATATTTTTATTTTCCACATTAATTTAAGTAGAGTTGCATTCTGGCAAATACACTGAATACTGTTCTAACACCTGAGACAACTATTTATGTGAATAAATGGTATAGAGGCACCATACACTGTGCTTTCTTGGGGATTACCATCTTGATGTGATGAGAAGTTTTAATGACCCGAAAGCAATATCAGTTGGTAAGAACAAAAGAGGAAGTGTACAGCTAAAAGTAATCTACAATGTGAGGGTGACTAAAAGGGATTTGCAGTTGTGGAGAAAACCACCCGCTAGGAGAATAAATGCAAAAGTAAATTCAGAAGAAAGCAATGGCAAATCATTTCTATATTATTCCTACAATCCTTACAGATATGGCAAAAATAGTTTTAAAATGTTGCATGTCAACAGACTTCTAGATTAGAAGTCACTCATAATAGAATAGTGATCCTTTATAAGAATTCAATTATGGAATCAAAGCCAAGTTTGGTTAGTCACCAATAGTATCAATATTGAAAGAGGAATTCTTCTGGAACATCAAATATAAAACACGTGAATCAGTAATTCATAACTAGGTATTTTAAAAATAAGTGAAGTTGGGTGGTCCAGAATGGGCCATTTTAAATCAGATGATTATATAATACACTTATTTGAAGAATGGAATGGCAGTGATATTCAAAACAAAAGACAAAAACTGCTAAACATAGTCCTTAGCTTTATTTCCATAAATGACACCATCATATCAGTTAGAATTAGTGGCTATTATCCTCAGTGAACATTAGTAATAGAAATATATGTACGGTTTACTGATGACACAGCAAAAGATCTTATTATAATTAATTGGGTTTGGGGAATATAATACTTTGCTTCTTTGCAAAAATTGTTACTATTTCATTACACAGTGTGATGCAGATAAATTTTAAAAAATTTAATAGTTACAAAATTCTATTCAATAAAATTAACACTTAATATTTAGGAAAAAAATAAAAAACAAACATAAATATTTAAAACAATGCCTCACTATACTCCAAAGCAGGCAATATCCATGATTAATATAAGTCAATAACAAACTGAAAACTACTAATATAGTTTGCAAGTAACATGAAATAATGCCACACTAATCACTAGTCAAATTAATAAGATCTAAAAAATTACTTAATAATAAACAGAAGATGGAGAAATGCAATCCAGTTAAAAAGAGCACTTTCAGATATTGTGGAACAATCCATTAATTATGAAGTGTCAAGTATATATGAATTAAACTTAAAAAAATTAAAGAGAGTTGTTGTGTCAGCAAGATTTGACTTGAAGGACATATAATCAAAATATAAGATCATTGTATGAAACAGTTTCTGGTTGCCTAACTCTTTGCAAAAGACCTTGATTAGCTATGAGAAGGGGTAAGGCATACTATCAAAATTCGAAAAACAACTAATCCAGTATTTCAAAGAGACAAAAATACAGTGATCACAGAAAAAAAATAGAATAATAGACATAGAAAGATGGAAGATGGAAACCTTGGGCAGCAAGTACGGCATATGAGAACTGAATGCAGAAGTAAATTGCATTCCTGGCATAAATGGAAAAAAAGACAAGGAAAGACAAGGAAAAATATCTCAATCAATGATGTCAACAAATAAGGATAAATAAAAAGATAATAAAAATGTGTTAAGAAAATGAGAAAAAATACAAGAAAATGTACAAGCAAGATAATACCTCAGGAATAGCCACAGAAAAGGAGACAAAGAAGGTTAAGAAGAATGGTAAGACTACTCTGAAGCTCTTTATGAATCGCAATGAGAGAAATATTTTCAGAAAGATAATTTGTTCAGGAATCTACTGACTTATAAAATGCAATATAACAAACAATTGAAGTGAAGCAGTCAAAAGTGCTAACATCTTTAAATAAGAAATATGGAACAAGACTACAATATGTGGTCTAAAGCAGGAGTTTTCAAACTTTTTCAAGCTAGGGAAATTGTTAATTAACATAATAACTATCAAAATGGTGGTCATGTTGTTTTTCCAGTTGAGAATAAGCTCCACTCTTTTAACTGTTATCTTAGAAAAAATGTTATGGATGCCCCTAATTAGTTTTCCTCATAAACAGAGCAATGCAGGTCAGATGAAGAAGCCGAGCTAGCAAGAAGCAGTGGATTGATAAAAAGTGACTGTGGTCACTGACTTTTAAAATTACAATTTGATAGCATCAAATTACCAGAATGAAATATGGATCAATAAAAATATAAATGTATTGAATTCATTTTTGCTCTTGAAAGCCTGGTAATATGATATAAAATCTGAAGGAATCAAAAATACAAAATGGCAGAAAATAAGAACAACAACAAATAACTAAAGATGATGTTATCCATGATGGGTTAAAGTTCCTTAATTCAAAGTTCCAAGCAAGGTAGTGAATTATCTAAGTCAGCAAATAAATATTGCTAAATTGCATAAGACTTATATTCATGCAAAAAAGATATAATCCTTCGGCAAAACCCAGAGTGAAAATATACACAGAGGTTTGGAACTTGCTCTATCTATCAAAAACAAGTGGAGGTCTAGTCAGAGAATATGCAGGACAAGCCTGCTGGTTGATAAAATCCAGACTATTGAAAATTAAATTGGTTTCTTCCCTCTGCATTTTCAGATGTCCATTAAGAACTACATTTTTACCATGTGTTTCAATAGGGCAATCTAGGATGATTTATTATCTGCAATGCTTATTACTTCTGTTGTCATTTGATTTTTTATTGATCATCCTGAAATAGTTGTTAGCCATATCAGAATTCTTATTTGAGTATAAAAAAACATAAGGTATAAGTATTTAACTTTTTAAATACACACTATTCCTTATAAATGTACTGTACAACTTTTTCTTACTGAAATATATGTACATCTGGGAAACTACAATCCTTCCTTCAAAACCTCCCAATTTTTAAAAATGAAACAAGTTAGTAGACCTAATACATCATTTTACTTTTTTTTAAATATATGTTTTATTAATACATTTTAATACACATAAAAACTATCCATATCTATCTTGAACAAGGTGCTGTCTGGATAATCATGATCATAATCATAATATACATATCAATATTAGTCACACAGAAATAATACGATTAAGTTATCCATCTTTAAAAAGTTTCAATATATGATTAATTATCTTTTTAATCTTTTTAGTTTCTAACCTCTGTTTTTATTAGTTAGCTATTGGTAAAACAAGTCTTTTAATGTGATCGACAAGCTTTAATGAAGAACATATAAGTAGTATGACATAACTGATTTTTTAAAAAGCATGGATTTCATTTTGCTCTGTATGGATACTTAGCATGCCACTATTCTTTGAATCAGACTATTGCCCTGACAGGCAAATTTTCAATGTCCATTTTCCATTGTTGAACTCAGGCTAAAGAGTTTATTTTAAATCCTAAATCACTAAATCATCTACTTATTAGCATTCTAAGCTTCAAACAAAAGTAGACAAGTTTTGATTCATAACAAAAAAAACACTTCAGAATGAATTACAAAATCATTAGTTTTTTCTCTCTCCACCTCCCATTATGTCTGCTTGAAATTTGAAAGATGCGGAATCAAGTTGACATGGTAGGCTACCATAAATTTTACCTATTAACTAATTTTATTATCACTTACCTATATTCCTGTGAGTAAATAAATAATGGCACAATATAACTCTAAATACTCAGAAAATTTTTATCTATCTTGAAGCCTATAACCAGAGACAGATGTCTGCGTTGAAGTTTCACCAGAACAAAGGGAGAAACTCTGGTGAAGGAGAAAAAAATTCTATCAAAAGGATGAATTCTTTAATCTTTTGACATGTGGTCCTATTTCCATTCCACTCATACATAATAAAAACTTCCTACAAAGTAGCAAAGATTATTAAGGGCTATTAAATCTACTTTCTTGCATCTCTGTTTACTGCTCCCTGTCAGATAGCCCTTCAGTATTCCATCAGTCTTGGAAGTAAGTCATTGTATTATCTATTATTTGGGGTGAAGAAAGATTGATTTTCTTTCATTTGTATGCCAACACATACATCTGAACATTCCAAAGTACATGGTTGAACTTTGCATTCTGCCTAATAGCCATGCAATTTCTGGTACTAATTTTCTTCATGAAATCATATAAACATATTAGATTCATGACTGAATCATGGGTATAAGTATTATCCTCTGACTTATGAGGAGGCCCACATACAAGTATTTCAAAAATTAGCTTTTAAAAAGCTAAAACAGTGGAAAGTAGAAAAATCAGACCCACGATGAATCAGAAGATACTGCAGTTTCTGAAATAATATTCCATCCTACTATATTATAGTATAGTGTTGGGATGTAGGTGAATGGCATTGTAGTATGAATGATCTTTCTACAAACAAAATCCAGTGGTTTTACCGTACCCTAGTTTTTTTCCCAAATTAAGATCAAACGTTAGTTGCAAATAGTTCACATTTCAACTTTTTAAAAAAGTCTCTTAAACAGCAATATTTGCCATGTAAGATTTATCTACAAAACAATACGCTCCTGTTCTACTGATTTCCAACTCTGTCAAGGATGAACACTGTCAGGTCAAGGCCTACTCCTTGCCACAAATATATTAACAAATGTGCAACACTGTTTTACTATAGAAGAGGCCATCATTTGTTTTATAAGAAAACTAGTCATCAATAAATAAATAAAATCCTATTCAAAAATCAGTTATCCTGAGCCTTTTTGTACAGAGAAGCCCCTACACCTTTCAGACAACTTGTATTAATGAGCAGTCGTGACTATAGAATCTCCATCAGTTTTTCTGACAAAGCTGCAACTAGTCCAAGCTTCTCATTGTAATTCCATTAATCTGGTGCAGCCGGGTTCAGTGTGAAAATCAAACCTCCATCTAAGCCTTTATCAGTTTACAATAACCTACAACTGAACTCTGCCTGTTAGCATATAGCAAGTTATGATTTTTCTATCAATCAGACCACTAGCCAATAAAGGAGGAGCCAGGCAGGAACTGTATGCTGGCCAAGAATTGTACATCTTGTTTTATTCTGAGGCTTCTTCACAACTGTTTTTCTCACCTTCGCAGCTTCTTTC